AATTGGCATTTTGACAACGGCAGCACACATTTTATTCGCAGTTTCATGTTTCAGTCGTCTTTCTGAGCATGCGCAAAGATTTAAAGAAACATGGCACCGAAGAAAACAATACTAAAGCCGATATTGGCTTTCTTCGCAAAATTGAACAAAGTAGAAATGCTAAATGAAACTGAGACTCAAAAAAATGCTCCAAACGATAAACAAAGTAATGATGACACACAAAATGAAAGTAAACCGCCCATTGTATGAGAATTCTGACAAGTTTGGTTGTCAACTTTCGCCTGGCTTCGTTACGATAGAGAGAAAAACGTGATGTATTGTGATTTTTGTTGTAGGGCTGGTTCAACTTTGGCTGGAAAAACTGATTTTATAGATGGTAGTACTAAATTTAAACATGAAAACGTCCTTGCCCACAGTAAAAGTCTTAGATACGGCAAATGCCGCGACTTTATCATTAATAAAACAAGCAGACACTCAATTGAAAAGTCTCACATTGCCAAGAAATTTCTCGATGCAGAAATCAAATCAAATGAAAAGGATTTGATGGATTTGAAAGTTAAATTTAACACAGTTTATTGTATAAGGAAGGAAGAAATGGCCTTTACAAAACTCAAGCCCCTACTCTTACTTCAATACAAAAATGGGCTACCTGTGACACCTGCATACAGTAACAATGTTAGGTGTGGTGAAATGATGTCTACTATTGCAAGCACGATCAGAGATGAGACATTGGAATCTATCAGTGACTCTCATTTATGTGTCAGTTATGATTGATGGTGCCACTGACAGCTCTGTGTCAGAAAATGAAGCAGTTTATGTGAGAACAGTGTTGAATGACAAAGCAGAAAATAAACTTGTTGAAGTTATTGCCATTGAATATGGCCATGCTAAAGGCATTATCTCTGCAACTAAATCTGCTCTTTCAAAAGTGGGGATCAGTGATGATGAAATGTCATCGAGAATTGTTGGGTTTTGTGCAGATAGGGCAAATGTGAATACAGGACAGAGGAATGGTGTTGTCACTGTTAAGGCAGGAAGTTCACCATCTCATAGACTTTCACTGTATGGCACATAGGCTTGAATTAGCCCTATTGAAACTACAAAAACAGACTCCTATTATGCAGTCTGTCAATGACTGTCTACATTTGATATGGAAGACTTACCACTTCAGACCAAAGAGCAAGAGAGAACTCATTGGAGAAGAACTTGAAGCAAGAATCTACTCACCAGCGCCAGTGAAGAATACCAGATGGATTCCTCATGTAGACAGGGCAATGAGAGTCTTTCTCCAAGGAAAGAAAGATGGTCATTTGGCTGAGGATCATGGTCAATATGCAGCAGTCTACACTCATATGGAAAATCTTGCAGCAACATCATCAAATGCAGACATTGCTGGTAGAGCTAAGAAAATAAACAAGCAATTGAAGGATCTTGTATTCACTGCATTTTGCCATTTCGTATCTGATCTATTTGGCGGGCTAGCTTTGCTCAGTCTAAAACTACAGACAAACAATCTGATTCTTCCTGTAGCAGTTGCATCAATTAAGGATTGTATGGAAACTGTTTCAAGTATGAAGGAGGAATACATTCCTGGGGGAATGTATGAAAAGTTTATCCTGTGTATTGAAGAACAACAGTGAAAATTTGCAGGGTAATCCCAAATTTCAAGGAGTTGAAATGACCGGGAGTCCTGTTTATGAGGTCAAAGAAAAACTAAAGAAGCATGTTGAGTCTACAGTTGACATTACAATCAAAGAACTAGAGTCAAGGTTTCAAAATTTGTTGGGAACAAATACAAGTGTAGATGCTCAAGGTGTGGTGAAAAGTTTCATTAAGGTGTTCAATCATGACACATGGCCAGAATGCAAAAGGAAACTTGTCCATTTTGGAAATCATGAAATAGACATTATTTGTGACTGGTTTGGAAAAACCTCTTGTGGCTGCAGGATGCAATATGGAAGTTGTTCAGACGGAATGGAGACACATGAAATTCTTTTGTTGCAAATACTTTCAGGGACAAGTCTTATTCTGATCTGTGGCAAATCCTACTGACCAAGGACCCATACAAGACTGACTTCTGCAATGTACTTCATCTTGTGAGAATAATGCTCACTCTTCCAATCAGCTCTGCAGAGTGTGAGAGAGCCCTTTCTGCACAGAAGAGAATAAAGAGCGACATACGGAGCAGCTTGTCTGTATAGAGACTGTCAGACTTAATCTTGCTTTCTTCTGAAGGTCCAGATCTGGCTGAATTAAACCCAGAGAAATCCATTGACATGTGGATGGCAAACAGCAGGAGAAGGATTTCGGGGAGGGGGGGGCAGGACAGTGTGACTGGCCAGCTAACATTGTCTGTTGATTGAAAGTGTAAGGACAAAGCAGTACTATTTGAAAACAAAAAGATTTAGAGTCACAAGCTATTGACTTGACAATTCAAATTGAGCAAGTGTTAAAGTGGGACTGGAAATTGGAATAAGAAGGTAAATGCAATTCAATATTGGGCAAATGGAGTTATAAAATTTTAAAAGATAAAATTTCAGTTTGAAACAGAAATAAGTTCAATGTCAGTAACACAAAGACACAGTATGTGTTTGCCAGACCATCTGGACATTTCCCTTTCCAGTACGACTTTAAGATCTTAGATCAGCATTACTATAGTTAATATAGTTAATATTTCCGAGTGACATTTACCAATCTGATAGGGAAATTGAAAATAAGGTAAAAACCTGTTGTTAAGAGTGTACAATAACTGCAAATCATGACTGAATATTTCTAAATGACACCTTTGCCAGGTAACAGTTGAAGTGAATGTAATGTTTTTATGAGGTTGTTGTTGTTTCAAGTTTAATAATATTGAAACTGATGCGATCTTCAAACTTGCATTTGTCAGTTGACTGAATTATCTTGAGTGATATTTGCCAGGTAACTGTAAACAGTTCTACAGTTTCTAGACTCAATATAATGTATTTATGATCTTTTTGTTTGAGATTGTTTAGTAATATTGAAACTGATGAGATCTTGAAGACTTTAAATTTGCATTTAAATTTTGTCAGTAAGTTTACTGAATATTTCTAAATGACACCTTTCAAAGTTGGCCAAGTAACAATTGAAGTGAATGTAATGTCTTTGAGGTTGTTGTTTCAAGTTTAGTAACAAACTAGCAGTAGAGCCCAGCGTTGCCCGGGGATGTAGCAGTAAGAGATAGATCAAGTATCGACCATCGTAAAGACTGAAAAATAAAATTGACAAAGATTATTGTTTAAGGTTGACGGACACGCATGTCTTAATTATTTTTTTTTTTGTTTTTATTTGGGGGGGGATTGGTCAAACTCAAACAAAAACATTGTTTTCAATTGTTATGAGTCTACCGATTGAATAGAATTTTATTATAAACAATTGTCTTGTAAATGGAATTTTTAAAGCATTCTGAATGTAAAAATAAATAAAAAAGTGTGCAAGACAATAAGAAATACTACTTGCCAAAAAAAGTGAAGTTTTGTTGAAATCGGTTGAAAAATGTAGGAAGTCCGATCCCATATATAAATGAACACACACACACAAACAACCTGGGTTTTATAATAAGTATAACTCTATATAAGTTGTTCCCCCCTTCATTCTGGCAACAGAATCGTGTTTTATCGTGTTTTCAAATTGATTTCGTGCAAAAACAATTGTTTTTCCAATTTTTGGCGCTGTCAGAACCTCCGCAAGGTAATTTTACATAGTCCTGTGAAGTTTTGTTGAAATCGGTTGAAAAATGTAGGAAATCTGATCCAATATATAAACGTACAGACACACACACACACACAATCTGCGTTTTATAATAAGTAAGATATTGAAACTGATGAGATCTTCAAACATGTATTTGTCAGTTGACTAAATTATTCTAAGTGATATTTGCCAGGTAACAGTACCACTGAATGTAATTGTTCTTAAAATTTCTAAATTTCCTCCCATAAATTTCATCTGTATTGTCTTAGAGAATTAGAAAATAAAACAAAACTTCACCTGGAATTGTTTTATTCATAACATTAGAGTGAAATAACATTAACATGGATTTGGCTAGTAACTTTTCTATTTGGCTAGTAAACAAAAATATTTAGTTGTCAAAAGTCAACTAAAGGTAAATTTGTCTGTAGAGCCCTGTATGAAGAGATAGTTTTGCCTATTACCCGGTTCTCACTTCTTCCCCATCCTTTGAATGGGAGTAGATGTTTATCCCTCTTTTCCTGTTTAGGATTAGCTTTCTGGTTCCTTCTATGATCTACTTTGACTCAATACTTCTGATGTGTCCACCTTAACTCTGAAATTTTATTGACTCTCCCAATAGGAGCAGACAGGTTTCTCCTCTTGCCTGGTTCACATTCCTACCCTTCTTTTGAACAGGAGTAGAGGTAAAAATCTTCTTGTTTTCCTTCACCCCCAGTAATCCCTTGTATCTTAGTGGTCTTATCGCTTTGCTTGGGGTGAAATTATTTAAAAAAAAAAAAAATTCAATGAAAATTTTCTGAATTTTATTAACACATCTGAAAGAACATGTGAGCAAGAAGAAAAGTCTTAAGGAAAATAGGAATTAAAAGGGCACTTATAGTTACACTCAGAAAAGATGGAATGAGGAAAGAAGGCCTAGAGAATTTAACACTCACAGACCAGTGAAGGCAAGCAAAGCAGGGGGGAAACAGCAAGTAACCTACTTGATGAATTTGTGTGAATGGATGGCAAAACAAAGATTGATTCAATTTTTATGGATTATCAACCCTTTGCAGGTTATTTAAAGCCAGAAAATATTTTTAGATTGTAAGAATTTTTTTTTTTTTGATAATGATTTAGTGATACAAACCTTACTAATTAACCCATAGCTAGAGGAGAAGTAGTAGATTCTTATCTTGTCCAAGGATATTTGCATGTAAGTGAATATAACAAACCCAACTGGAATCCAAACTCGGATTTCCAATTAACAATTCTGAGCCATTATCCATAGGACCACTCGCACATCCAAGCTTACAGCACCTGGTATTCTCAAGCGGTCACCCATCTAGGTACTGATCAGGCTTGACATTGCTTAACTTTAGTGATTGGACAGGATCAGTGTTTCAACACAATATGGCCATAGGCCAGCAGGACAAAGAGGGATGGTAATAAAGGTTACTTAGGAGCAGCAAAATACTGGAAGTTGTGAAGAGCCATGATCACTCATGTCCTGAAGGGACACAGCACTTAAGAGAAGAGTGAGTGGAAATTTGATCTGAATTTATCAAACTTTCTATATTTGAACTCATCAGAAATTAATGGGCTACACGTACATATAGATGTGTGTGTGTGTGTATATATATATATATATATATATATATATATATATATTTACTTATTTATTTATTTATTATACCATTGTATTTACATACATACACATTTGTGTATGTGTGTATATGGATGCATGCATAGACACGCTCATCCTGGTCATATACAAATATTAATCCGTCCTCTCCTATATTTGCGTTAACTTGTTTCACACAAAACAAAAATTAATTACATTCCAAAAAGATGATGGCTTGTTGAATTGCAGCTCCTGACAATGTTCCATTGAAATATTTCTGATTTTTGGCTTTGGTTGGGACACTTGCCGTTGGCACGTGTTTGACAACTGTCAGGTATGGGCAGGGTTTGACTGGTTATTGCATGGCAGCCATCTTGTGTCTGCTGCCAAAGATATTGCTCTTCTTCTTATGATTAGCAAGGGAAAAAATGATATAATTGCCAACACTACAAAACTCAAGTGCAGAAACTGAGATTGGACCAAGACAAGCAGCACCAACAGGCATTTCTGACACTTTTTTTTCTTCTTCCAAAAATTCTTTTATCTTTTTTTTTTTTTTTTTTTTTTTTTTTTTTTTTTTTTTTTTTTTTTTTTTTCTTTTCTTTTTTTTTTCTTTGTCAATTTTTTCACTTGAATATTTTCTGTATAATTCTTACATTTTTTTTAATTTTTTTTTTTTAGGGTTTTTCTTCCCTTTTACTTATATTTTTTTTTGTTACAATTTTCCTTTTCTTTTCATTTTCTTTTTCTTCTTTATTTTTTATTTTTTTATGCTTTACTTTTATTTGATTTTTTCTCTTTTTTTTTTTTTAATTCTCTGTGTCCTCACTTACTATTTACTTGCCTTTGTTTTTCCCTCTTTATATTTTCTCTTTCTTTTTTTACCTTTTTGTGCATTACTTTTTCTTTTTTTTTTCTTTTTTGAGCTCTGCATGCATGCTATCTTTCTGGTTTTTCCAGGTCTTTTCATTACCTTTCTTTTTCTACCTCATTCTGTGTTCTCTCTTCCTTTTCTATCTCTCTCTGAAAATTCCCATTTCTACCTCACTCTGCATGTTCCATTTTTCTTTTGTACCTCACTCTAAGAATTTCCTTTCTTTTTAACCTCTTTCAGCACACACCCTTTCTTTTTTCACCTCTTTTTGTGCAAGCCTCTTCCTTGTTGGCCTCCCTCTGCACATTTTCTTTTTGAACCTCTTCATGTCTTGTTTCTCTTTCTATCTTGCTATACACGTTCCATTTCTTTTTTAACCTTTTTCTATACATGCCCTTTCCACTTAACTTTGTACATACCCTTTCTTTTTCCACCTCATTTTAGGCAACTTTCCTTTTCTCCCTCACTTTGCACATTCCCTTCTCACCTCGCTCTGCACATCTCCTTTGTTTTTCTACCTCACTCTGAGTGTCCCACTTCATTTTTTACCTCACTCTGTGCATCCCATTTCCTTTTTGTTACTGTTTCTTTTTTCTGGGTTAATTTTACACTGACATTTTTTTTCTCCCCTCACTTTTTCTTCTTCATTTTCATCCATTCTTTGTTAATCGTCCTTTTTTCCATTATGGCTTTTTTTCCCCCCCCTACATGTACAATTTTCTGCCTCGGCTCTGTTTACATTTTATTTCATTCTATTCACACCCAACGTCCTTTTAAGTCATCTCATCCCTCAGCACATCTCTCTTGTTTTTAATACCTTTTTTCTTTTTAAACCAATTTTTACTTTATTTTTTAAAAATATTATCTCATATAATTTCATCTTGTTCTTTTCTTTTTTATCTCATTGTTTTCTGTTTTTATTTTCCTTACGTTAGACATTCAATTTCTACTGTGCCCTGAATGTCTACATAAATCAGTTCATTCATTCAGAAGCTTTTTCATTTTATACACACCCTACAGATACACATAAATACAAGGTACACATGTGCACACACACACACACACACACATATATATATATATATATATATATATATATATATATATAAAGGGGTACTGAAAAATTCTCAGCCTGACCCACATCTCAAAATGAACAATAATTTTTTGTTTTTTGATTTTTTACTTTTTGAAATCCCATCTTTGTGAGACAGAAATTCTCAACCTCCCCACATCGTCCTATGTACACTTTGACACATTTAAATAAGAAAAAAACATAAAAATCCTTATGAGCATAATGTCACTTTTAAGGAGTCCCCCACCATTGAGCATTAAATGCAGGCTTATCTCGAAGGCCATAAACAAATGTACTGTTCTCCTGTAGCACCAGACTATTTCTTTGTTTTAACCAATTTTTACATTATTTTTATTTTTTTATGAATACAATCTTACAAATTTAAAAAAATTCTATTGTTTTCAGGTTTTTTTTGTTTTACAAACTCACATACATGGTAAATAAGAGATACATATGCCCCCACCACACATATATATATATATATATATATATGCACACACACATACACATATATATCTATGAGAGAATATATGTAAATTCTATATATTAGACTAGAGGTGGGTAATTGAATGACAAAATAGAAAAAAATCCTATCTAACACATTTTAGGAATTCTTAAAGATTAAATAATGTTTTTTATTGATAAATGTAGGAGGAGGTAACAAAAATATAAATATACATACATATACATAAAAATTCTAAATCAGAATCAAGAGAAATGCTGAAGATGTAGGAATGCCAAAATTGATGAAGCCATAAAAAAATCAAAAAAAAAAGAAAAAAAACAAACTACCTTAATGATCAAAACTCAACACAATAAAAAGTGCTTAGTAATCTTAGGTAGAAATATCCAGTTAGAACCGGTTCTTGACCATTTTGCCCAATGCACCCTTCTTATCAGAAGTCAAAATGTCACCACCCCCACCAAGATTGTCTGACTCAAAAGGTTGCATTCCAAATAATATGCATATATTATTGAAAATTTTCATTCTTTTCCATATTAGTACATATACATTTAATTTTTATTAATCATTTCATCCCAAGCCACTAAGACACAAGGGGTTAATGAGTGTGAATGAATAAAAAAAGTAAAACATTATTAAGGAGTGCAAACAATAAAAGCAGAATTGAGAAGACAGTAGATAATGGTTGGCATTTAAATTTTGAAGATCAAAGTTGGCTGGAAAGGATGAAGCTAGATGTGTGAGAGAAGGAACTGTTAACATAGAACTGACAGTTACATCTTGCCAATTGTGCAGAAGAAATCTACTTACTTTTAAAAAGGCTGAGGGTGTGCCCCTGCTGATGCCATTAGTTCCATGATACAAAGAAAAACCATGGCAGACTCATTCCATCATTTATAACAGAATACGATTGCTGGAATCGCCCAAATGTGCTGGCCACAGATTAGTGTGCCTACCTTGGAACACATATAAAGTCATTAACAATGAACAAAAGCGGAATAAAGCAATGAGGTTGAAGAATGGATTTGCAGCTATTTGAACTTACAGCTTTGTGAATTTGTGACAGTTTGCTAAACCGATTCATCTGTAAATTAACGAGACCTTGCCACCAATCTGGTACTGCACTTAAATTCATAAAGTTTGGGTACCATAGACAAAAGTTCATCAGAAGAATTACTGTGAAAAGATTTATAGAAAAGGTAGAGGGAAGCTATGTTATGGCAGTGGGAAAGGAAATGAAGTTTAGATGCCAGATCAGAACCAATAATATTGCAGATTCTTATTTAGATCTTACAGCAGAAGCACTGAATCATATATGGCAGCAATATTCAAAGCATGGTTGACTTATAAATATATAAGATAGATTTTGAATAGAAAATGAATTATTTTTATGGAAGAATTTTACAAATGTAATAGCAATAGAAAATGTTGATGAATTTTTAATTTGAATAAGTGTCCAGTAATTTGTTTTAATTCATAAGCAGACTTCACTAAACAAAATGTTCAATAAAATGCCAGGGTATTGTAATTCAGTAATTAAAAAACAAGAAAAAAGGAAAAGATCCCCCCCCCCACAAATCCAAAACTCTGAAATTCCCTCTGGGAGCTTCTGGTTGAGAATACATAGAATAAAGTTGAAATTCAAGTTTTGACACACATATATATATATATATATATATATATATATATATATATTTAAATTCCCAGATCAATTCTGTGGACAAGACAAATTGTCCAATTTGTCTTGTCCGCAGAATTGATCTGGGAATTTAACTGTATTGGCGACATGGAAAAAAAAATCTCTTAGTATAAAGGAAATTTACATTAACCAGAAAAAGGCTTAGACAGAAGCATCTATCTTTTTAAATTTGGATTTTTTAATGTAACTATAACAACAAAGACATCTCAATTTCATTCTTGCCTTGAAAAAGTCGGAAGATGAAACATGTCGGCAAAATCTAAGATTTTTTTTCCAATTGTCATTTTATACCATATATATATATATATATATATATATATATATATATATATATATATATATATATAAGTGAGCATAGAAGTCAACACTTAGAAGTGACAGACTGTCACCTCTAAGTGTTGACTTCTATGTTCACTTTTATATTTACACACACTCTATCTCTGATATTGAGCACTTTATCCCATAAATATAGCACACCTTAAAACTATATTTCTTCATATATATATATATATATATATATATATATATTTGTTAATCTAATAATTTTTATCACTTTAAACATTATTTTTAGTGGATACCCATATTTGAGTAGAAGCTCTGTTTATTTTAAACAGTATATTTATTTTCATCTACCAGCCTGAATTATTGCTTGATCGGGTGATGTCCTTCATGGCTGAGTTGGTTAAAAGCACATTGGATCTAATGACAGTTTCTCCTGCAAAGTTGAACATAGGTTAAAATCCTGCTGGAGGGTGCTTTTTTTTTTTTTTCTTTAATGAGATTTCTCAAATATTCAGGCTTGTAGAGGAAAATAAATATATTGGTATCCACTAAAAATAATATTTAAAGTGATAAAATACATAATTTCACACATTGTGTTGTGGTGTTAATAAAATAGTGCTCTGTCGTAACCTACAAAGTGTTTCTGAATGAGAAATAACCAAAATGGAGGTTGGAAATGTTAATCTTTATAACATCAGCAAAATACAATACTCACCAGGGCGTGAAGTAGGTAAACCACTGCGAGTGATGGACTACTTAGACAGCATATTACCCCCACTTACAATAGTGTCCAACATATTTATGAGGATTGGGACATACCTTATAGTGTCTACAGGTACAGTATATAACATACTCAATGCAATATAACAGAGCTATAAACTATATACATTTTTTTTCCTCATTGGTAACACGATTCAGAGTGCACAACACAATCATAAGGTGCTGAATTAAGTTTCAGTCTTTTGTTAAATATGACGGACAAGGGAATATTTGATTCATTTTTTATTTAGTTTTTCCAGCATTCTTACATTTTTTCCATTTAAGTGGGAGTTCAACAGCTGTCCCTCATTCCCACCAAACTGAAAAATGTAAGAATGCTGGAAAAACTAAATAAAAAAAAAAATGAATCAAATTTTCTTTGTCTGTCACATTCAACAAAGGATGTTTAAAAGAAAGATTGCTGCGCAAATATATATATGTGTGTGTGTGTGTGTGTGGGAAAGGTTTTTAATAACATGTTTTGTTCACCTTCAGGTTAGAATGAACACAAATCTGTGTCTTTGTATTAAAGCCATTAATCTCTGTTTGCTAAGTTGTTAATGTCTCCTGCGTGGAATAAAACAATAAAACTGTGTCTTTTCTATTGAAACTGTTAATGTCTGTTGGATTTGAAATTAGCCCATTCCAAGTAGGTCTCTGTTATTCTCTCTATTAACTTGGATGCCATATTGTGTATGAGCCTGGTCTTATGCTGAGAATTGTGAGATCAGTGCACTCTCAATACTTTTTCTTCTTGGTGAAACCTTTTCTCTCCTGATCAAAATTTAAAATCTTAGATATTTTTCTTTTCCTGCCTTATTTCACACAAATGGAAAACAACAAAATTCACTAATTAATTCCAGCTATTTTTGTGTACCCACTCGTGCATTGTATACATTTAAATTGGCTATATTTGTAGAAGAGAAATATTAGCTAGAGTAGTTATGGATACAATGTGGATATAGGAAATATAATATTGTGATGATCCTATGGCGACACCTCCTATTTAAAACTTACTAAACCCACGGATGTTAAGTTACAAAGCAAACTTTCTTTCTCTCTCTCTCTCTGTCTGTGACTATTACCCTCTGCCTCTGTGGCAAGCTAAAAGCAGTCAGGTGAAAACCCATGAAGTCTAAAAGGATTGACCCCTAGCAACCATTCATATGGAGTCACTTCACTCAATATTCAAAATTACATGTGAAAGAAACACGGCAAGTCAGTTGGGGCAACGAAACTCTAGAAAGTCAGACCATCCATGAAATCGTCATGTGAATGGATTTACCAAAATGAAGATAACGGATGCCATCCCCAGCTCACATAAAATCCCTGTTATGAGATACTTGTGAGAACAAATGGGTCTATACAAAATTCAGTGTAGTCAGTGATGATCAACATGATAATGATCATTTCTAAATTGGAATGAATCAACCTTATGCAAAAGAAGCATAGAAAGAGAAATAACTTTTTTCACAAATGAGGAGAAAAGAAAAGACAAAAGCCTGAAAATATAAAAGTTACACTGATGAGAAAATAAGA